AATGGAGAATTAACTAAGGCTTTTCAAATTAGAAAAGGGGTCCGACAAGGGTGCCCTCTATCCCCACTTCTATTTATCTTAGCACTAGAAGTATTCTTGAGAAAGATTAGGAACAATAATGAAATAAAGGGTCTGACAATCAGAAAAGAGATATATAAGACACAGGCATTTGCAGATGATGTGGTATTAATCATGGAAGAACCATTAGAATCAGGCACTAAAATTCTGGAAGAATTGGGCAATTACGGGGAGGTAGCAGGCCTTAAATTAAATAAATCCAAAACTAAATTATTAACAAAAAATATGACGGAGGTAAGGAAAAAAGTACTGGAAGAATCAATGGAGATCCAAACCGCCAAGAAGGTAAAATACCTGGGGGTCTGGATTTCATCAAGGTGCTCGGCCCTCAGAGAGGATAATTATTTACCATTGATTAGGAATATTAAACAGGATCTGGAAAAGTGGGGAAGACTACAGTTATCATTATTAGGCAGAATCGCGGCAATAAAAATGAGCATATTACCCAAGTTATTGTATCTATTCCGAACGGTCCTGTTAAATTAGATAAAAAATTCTTTCTGGAGCTCAATAGCATCATCAGGAAATTTATTTGGGAGGGAAAGAAACCAAGGATAGCAATTAGGAATTTACAGGACAAGAAGGAAAGAGGGGGTTTCGGATTACCTAAATGGGAGTTATATCAAAAAGCTGCAAACCTAGTATGGCTGAAAGAATGGGCAACCCTGAGAAATAAAAGACTGTTAACTTTAGAAGGGTATGATCTCCAGAAGGGTTGGCATGCATATCTCTGGGATACTGGGAAGAAGATAAAAACTTATTTCCATAGACATAAAATAAGGGAGATCTTGATACAAATATGGGGAGAGATGAGACAGAAGCACTATAGGAAAATTCCGAGATGGCTTTCCACCATGGAGGCTATAATATATCCAAATGTATTAGAAATGGGTAAAACGGTCAGATACAATGAATTATTAGATGTGGGAGGGAACCTTAAAACAAGGGAAGAATTGATGGAACAAGGTATTTCTATAGACTGGTGGCCATATAACCAAATTAAATCCAGATACAAAAAGGATAAGGAGGAATTTGGCATTGAAATGAGCACAAATGGATTTGACAAGATATGGATGGGTACGGACGACAAAATTCTAGCTAAATTATATAATTACTTATTGGAGTACGATATGGCAGAGGAAGTAGTTAAAGAACCGATGTTAGCATGGGCCAAAAATATAGGACAGAATATAAATCTGAACGAATGGGACTCAATATGGAATAATAACCTTAAAATCACAAAGGCGACGGCTTATAAGGAAAACCAATACAAGCTGTTTTATAGATGGCATATGGCCCCAGCTAGGATAGCGAAGATCTACCCCAATTCGAGCCCTAAATGTTGGAAATGTGACCATCAGCAGGGTACTTTTTATCATTGCTGGTGGACATGTGATCAGGCACAAAAATTCTGGAGGATGATATGGGTGTGGATTAGAGAAATAATAAAAGAAAATTTTGATTTCGACCCAAAAGCTTTTCTCCTGGGAATTTTGAAAACTGAATATGCAAAAAAGAAAAAGTATTTAATTATACATATTCTGACAGCCGCTAGAATTTCCTTTGCCCAGTATTGGAAAGAAAAACAAATACCACCTCAAGAACATGTTATTGGAAAAATATTGGAGTGCGCCGAAATGAACAAATTGACTTCAGAAATTAATGACAGAGAAGATTCAGAATTTTATAGCGTGTGGGACATGTGGTACGAATGGATGGGGGAAAGAAATAAAGAAGGTAATAGAGATTAAATATTAACTAATTAACAAAATCTATATGAATAGTATTATATTTAGTCTTAGAGAGTTGAGCACTATTATCTTTAAGTGTTTTGAAATTAAATCTAGCTTCAAGAAACAATATCAACAAAAGACAAGCAATAATGCATGTAGATGTATATATGTATATAATTGCACCAATGAACCGAAAATGTACCGATTGTATCACTATATGTTATAATAAAAATCAAATTTTTTTTTTTTTAAAAAAAAAGAAAACTTGAGTTAGAAAAACTTGCATGGAATAAACTTCTCTGACCTCTTAGTCTAGAAAGCTACCTCATATAAAATCAGATCATTAATCAACCAATACAGATATTGTGGACACTGATTACTCTGGATTCTAAGTTTTCAAAAAAACAATGCTCAGCCCTACATAGAAATACCACACATTGAACAATGGAACTGGTTCCATTGCAGGTAGTCCTTGATTACGACCCTAACTAGGCCTGGAAAAATTCGTTAAACAGCATAGTCATTAAGTAAGGCATCATGTGATCATATCCAATTTTACAACCTATTTTGTCAAGCAAATCACACAATTGTTAAGCAAATGTGACTTCACCAATTGACTTTGTCTGTTGGAAACTGACTTGGAAGAATCACTATCACACATCTGCAGGATACTGCTACTGTTGTATGCCAACATGATTTTGAGAGTGGTGTAATGATTGAAACTTCAAGGCCAGGTTGTAAGTCACATTTTTCAGGACAACCATAACTTTGAACAGTTGTTAAACAAATGATCATAAGTTCTCAAACCATAACTTTGAACAGTTGTTAAACAAATGATCATAAGTTCTCAAACACCAATTCAATAAAAAATACCAAAGCAAGTCTCCAGATCTAAAGTTACAATTGAAATAATGTACATTTCACACATTTTTTTAAATGTAAAATTCTCTATATGAAGCAAGTAGTAATTTTCTTACTAAAGAAGTAAAAAAAATAATCCAATTGTGTTCTAGAGCACGCAGGATAATTGTTTTCAGGCTGAAAGCCCTACTAAACATTGGTTGACATGTAAAGATTGACTGCAAAAGTTGTCAGAGCCAATACATGATTAAATAGCCTTAAGCATTACATTATTTTGCATTGAATAGATCTGTAATCATTTTCTGCTGTAACTTTAAAATTAGAAATTAAAGTTAATTAAAAAGAAATCAGGCCGTCAAAGAATATGATGACTGGACACTATCAAAGCTGTGTCACCAGCCAGAGCATAGAAAAATTCAAAAGTGTTAGACCAAAAGATGTGGAGACAGAGACACCTGGCCGATGGAAACATGAAAAGTCAGACTCAACTGAACGGATAACACGTTAAGAAACTGACAAACTCAAAATTGTCTATGGTCCTGATAGTGGCTCTGTCTCCAGTTCAATCACGCTTTCAATTCAGAAGTATGAAAGTGCAACCCAGTAGCTATATGAGACCTGCCAGAATTTACTTCCAAACCAGATGGAACTAAAAAAAACAATACCCAATCTTTTCTTGGAATACAGGAGGGATGTTAAAGAACAGAATAATGCCATAAGTCTTTCAATAAAATAATAAAAAATAAAGGATGTGAGGGTGATCTGGCTGCAACATCTGTCACCCCATTGATCGCCAGGGTTGATTTGGCTGATCTGGCTGGCTAGGCGGGTGTCCCCTTCCTCCCTCACCCTTCCGAAGCTGCATGCTCAGTGGAAGAGGATGATCATCCCAGTTAGGAGTGTACTGATCTTCGGTCAAGAGTATATGATAGTTGCGCTCCCTTGCTAGAACCTCCAACAAGTTCAAGGTTTTAAAATAATAAAATAAGGCAAAATATAAAATAAATAAAATATTCTGAGACCTTGTCTACTACTACTACAAGCAAGGATAGTATATAGATCCTTGTGTTAAATATACTATGTTTCAATTTTAACTCTCTTGTGGAGAAGCTGGCTGGAAATGATGCTGGCTTACAAAATCCTTTTCCAGATGCCAGTCTTCCATCACTTTAGCCTGATACTGTTTAAACCATGCTCACTATAGCCTGATTGGTGAATTTCCCTGTTCATGTCCTTCCTGGATCAGTTAAAAAAGAAAGTGAGTTATGCTCCTGTCATTTGGACTCGTTAAGGCATTGTTAAGATAGTAAAGCAGCACATCTTGCTGTTCCAGCAATAAACTTGAGAGGATGAGAAAGGCTGTGATCCAAAGAGCATCTTCTCACAACAGATACTCCCAAGTTTGTGTACATGGAACTGAAGTGAAGCAAAGCAGACACAAAGGCTTCACACAGAGCAAAATAGAAAGCACCTTTAATATGGACCTGGAAAATATGGATAGTTTGCAGTAGCCATTGGCTTGGGAGCACACCGACATAATTTATTCCTCCTTCTAGAAGTGGTGGGCAGCTCATGCTGGTATAAACTGGGAGCAGGTGGTAGCTATTGCTAAAGTGGCTTTGTTCAATCACTGTCACAACTTACTTCCCAATGAGATGATGATGTGCTACATGGGGACATCTTGAACACTATCCAGAAATTACAACCTGCCCAGAGGATAGCAAAATGGGCAGTCTTTGCTGTGTTGTGCAAGCTGATTTGCTCAATTTTTTCTGGGTACAATTCATGACAGGTCAGGTTTACAAAACTGTTCTCCGGTTTTGCATATTAATAGCAGTTTGGGTACAGTAGGCATGCTCCAGGCCTTCTCTCTCAAATATTGCCATCTAGCAGGACCTAGTAAACATGCTTTTTCCATAGCACCAATAGCTGTTGAACACCCTTCACCTTGAGTTCCAGCAGGCCTCCACCCTCTTAACCTTCTGGGAGTTAAAGAGTTGGCTTTTGCCCCAAATATTAGGAGAGAGTGAGATTGGAGTCTGAAGATGGTGGGTTTTTTGACTGACTTGGGATCATTATTACAACCTTTTTATTTTATGGTGTTTATGCTTTATACCACTGCTTTGACTGTGCTTCTTCAGATGAATATCTTTTAAATGTTGACAAGTCATTGTAATATATAAAATATGTATCTACCCAATTTATGTGGGGCAGTCCTACTCTTATACAACTAAGGATTATTCAATTAAACACAGTAGTCCTACAAATACTCAGGTTTTGTTAGTTTCATGAAAGAAACAAGAGAAAAATAATCAGCCAAGTCATGGATCGTGTTTGGTGCATATTTAATTGAAGTGTTACTTGTTGACAATTTATGCTTTCTTGATAGAAGATGCCTTTTGAAGCTTTTTAACTTCATGCTTGATGATCCGATTTCTCTGCAAAATAATTATGTTTATAAGGCAAGAATGTTTCATTTTCATAAATTATTTACTTACGAGCAACTGAAAAATGTCATATTTCAGTATTTAGTTTTATTAAACTTTGAATTAAGTTCTGGAGAAAAAACAGAACTATAATACTTACTGTTGAAGAATCCTATTCAAATTACTTTATTTCAAAAGAAATTTACTGATGAACAGCTAAAAGTGGAAAGCCAGCTGCATCAAGAGTTGACATTGGGTGTGTATTCATTTTATTTATACGTTTAGAGACTACTCCAATCAATCTACTCTAAGTGACATGCAACTCCCAAATCTGTAATTTATGTTAAATTAAATTAAATAAAATACTACTATTACTAATAAATAATAAATCAAGCAAAAATTGCACGTTGCAAAATTAAGGATTTTATCTTGCACCTGAAACCATTCTATTCAGAGCTAGGAAAGTCTATTTGGCAAGAACACAATATAGCAATTGTACTTACCATTTTCTTTGCTTTCATGACCTTATAACGATCAAAATCCGTCATCTTGGCTTTCTATGGAAAGATTTTTTGACAAAGAAGTCTGAGATCCTGAGCCTTACCAAAAACTGCCAACTTCTTTATGCATTAGCAAAATACAACTAGTCATCCTATACGCAGTTTTTATTTTCAAAATCATCTTTATCAAGAGTATAGATCAGCATGAGGCAAGGTACAGTCACTTTAAAAAAAAACAAAGGATCAGATGATAGATAATGCTGCTGCCGTATAGAACTTGGCAATATTGAATGTTGTAAAAGAATCAGTATCTGAAAGCAACAGGATGATATAATATTGTCCTGTGTGCCGTAGGTACTGATGCAATACAGGTAGCCATTGTGACTATTTAGCAACCATTCGAAATTACAATGGCACTGAATGAGATTTACAACTGATCCTTCAAACTGCACCATTACCACAGACTTGGTTTTGCAGTTTGGGTGCCTACAACTGGTTCGCAATTATGATGGTCACAGTATCCCATGGTCATGTGATTGCCATTTTTTGCCCTCACTGCCATCTTGCAACTAGTAGAATCAATAGGGAAGTCAGTAGATCATGAGACATTGCTCTTAACAACCTTGTAGGATTCATTTAATAACCCCAACCAGAACGTTTCCTGTTAAGTTAGTGGTCACACAACCCAGCTTTTTATGTCACTTAACAATGGAGTTGCTGATCCCAATTACGGACACTAACTTGTAATGGCAAGATAAGACTACTGCAAATATCTCTGTAATACAGGCATCAGAGAAGTGCACACACTGTAATTTCTGTGTCTAAAATCACAAGCTAAGCTATATTTTTGTTTGCCAAAATCATATAACTCTTACCATACAAGTATAAAATATATAAAAATATCAAAAACATTAATATAAAACTGAAGCTATTTAAACAATTTGTTTTTGATATTCTTATTACAATGCCATTAATTTTTCCAAATAAGCTGTTTATCATTTTGGCTTCACTGAAGAACTATTAAATGGCCCAAGCCATCCACAGAGAAAAAGGTCTGTAAAGGGATTGAGAGTATTCAACAAAGTGGTGCAGAATCATTAACGCTTCTTTTATCTATATGCATCTTTAAACAATGATTTATGTACTATTAAAACAATTAAAACTAGAAAAAACATAAGATTAAGATAGAGAAATTTAAAGAACCTGAGGGATAAAAATATTTTAATTAAAAAGACACAAAACAAAGCCTTTCCAACATATTTTAAAAAGACTGTGCAAACAGGCTACAAAAAGCTGAATTAATTGTGCTTCTATTGACATCTATATCCCTTTTCATACAGAAGCTCAAGAGCATAAATGCTCTAAGTAGGCTGGAGTGAGACAATGATTGCCTCACACTATTTTCTATTAGAAGCACTTTTAAAAATCATTCCTTTAGATATTTTTTCTATAGTCTGAATGGTAGGCAGTACTTAGCACTGATGAGCCCTAACAGCGTAGTGGTTAGCAATAGCATTTAAAACTTATATACCGTTTCATGCTGCTTTACAGCCTTCTCTAAGAGGTTTAGAGTCAGAATATTGCATCCAATAATCTGGGTCATATTACCGACCTCAGAAGGCTGAGTAAACCTTGAGCTGTTCAGAATTGAACTCCTAGCAGTGAATTAGCCTGCAGTACTGCATTCTAACCACTGTGCCACCATAATTCTTTAGTTAGAATGCACTATTGCAGACAGTGATAGCTAACCTTTTTGCTATCGCATGCCGGGGGGGGGGGGGGGGGGGGGGGGTTGCATGTGCAAACCCATAATTCTATGCACCCCACCCTGTGCATGCACCCCCCCCCCCCCCCCGGCACACAATGGCCAGGTAGGCCGATTTTTCTCTCACCTGACTCCAGATCCTCTCTATACATCTGGGGAGGGCGAAAGCAGCCTTCCCCACTCCCTTGGAGGCCCTCCGGAGGCCTGAAACGGCCAATTTTCCAACTCCTGGTGGGACAGGAAGTGACATTTTTTGCTGTCTCCAGCCTCCAGAGATTCCTAGAGGCCTCTCTAGGAGTCTCTGGAGGCTGAGGACAGCAAAAAACATCACCGTGTCCCACCAGGAGTTGGGAAATTGGCTGTTTCAGGCCTTGGAGGGAGTGGGGAAGGCTGTTTTCGCCCTCCCCAGATGTATAGAGAGGATCTGGAGCCAGGTGAGAAAGAAAAAGGGGCCTCTACCCCCAGGCCCTCCAGAGGCAGGAAACAGCCTGTTTCCCTACTTCTGGTGCAACCAGAAGGCTCTAAAATCAGCTGGCCGGTGCACGCAGAACTGAGCTGGCGTGCCCCCTGATATGGCTATGTGTGCCACCTGTGGCATGCGTGCCATAGGTTCGCCATCATGGATTGCAGACAAACTGCCCAGAATCCTGGAGTTCGTCCCTGATGGGGTTCAAGGATGATTCAACCTTCAGACAGATTGTTGGGGGCAATATGACGACACTGGAAACTACTCAGAGAATGCTGTAAAGACTATAATATATGAATCTAAGTGCTATTGCTACTATCCCAACTTCTGTTGTCCTATGACATGGGTGTCAAACTCACGGCCCGCATCAAGTGCTGACCACACCCACCCTGGTTTAGCGAAGGGGGCAAAGTCCTAATACATCATGTGACGATGTGAGTTTGACACCCCTGTCCTAGGATAATGAGTTAGGTATAAAAAGGTTATTTCAAGTTCCTATTGGAGGAACTATTTGCTCCACGTGGAGCAAATACCCTGTTTTGTTGCAAGTTCAGGACCGAGTATGAGGAAAAAGAACAATCTCAATCCAAACTGTTTTCCAAAGTCCTACAGTCTGCTGCACCTGAAATGGCAGAAACATTAAAAAAGGTTGAACAATTGATTACATAGGCAATTAACTGGCAACAAATAAGAAACAGAGTTCTTAATTGTACTTCATTATTTAGCTGCTTCCAAAATGCCATTTAACTCAAAAGTATTGCATGTTTTGTATTGTTTCAAACACATACCTTTTCCCTAGCCTCAATTTTTTTTGCCCATCTGGTGGCCTTCCATTTCTCATTAATGTTTTCTTTTTCCCAGGCAACTCGCACACATTTTTGACGAGCACTATATTTAAAACAAAACAAAAAATCTATTTGTAAGATTACTTTGTTTTTACAATCGACACACATTAAGATCACTTAAAAATATTTATTTTTCTATGCCAGTTGATAGATTTATTACTGCTAATTTTTTGCTAATATTTAGTGAATGGTACAGAAAAAAATAAGGCAGTAATCACAGCAACAATAACTTCCCATGAAGCGCACTTCCGGGTGCGCTGCAAGGTTTTGGTTACCACCTTTAAAGCGCTCCATGGCTTAGGTCTTGGGTACTTGCGGGACCGCCTACTACCACCAATAGCCTCCCACCGGCCGGTACGCTCCCATAGAGAGGGGCTCCTCCGGGTGCCGTCAGCCAAACAATGCCGACTGGTGGCCCCCAGGGGGAGAGCCTTCTCTGTGGGGACACCTACTATCTGGAACGAGCTCCCCTCAGAGATACGGAGGATCCCTGATCTGCGCACCTTCCGCCGCGCTTTAAAGACCTTACTATTTCACAAGCGGGCCTGGCCTAATTTTCTCCCTCTTTTATAAAAGTTTTTTAATTTTTAAATATCTTTTAGTATTTTATACATTCAATTTTAAATTGGTTTTAAAATAATAATAATAATAATTTTATTTCTATACCGCCCTTCTCCCGAAGGACTCAGGGCGGTGTACAGCCAATTTAAAAACAATAATTAAAACAATAATTAAAAATTAAAATAATTAAATAAATTTGGCCGATTTAAAACCCCAAAAATTTAAAATACCCCAATTTAAAATTATTATGTTGATAGCCCTGCCTGGCGGAACAACAGGGTCTTCAGTGCGCAGCGAAACACCCGGAGGTCGGAGATCTTACGTATTTCTGGGGGGCAGTTCATTCCACAGGGCTGGGGCTCCCAGAGAAGGCCCTCCCCCTGGGTGTCGCCAGCCGACATAATTTGGCTGATGGCACCCTGAGGAGACCCTCTCTGTGGGAACGGACTGGTCGGTGGGAGGCTATTGGTGGCAGAAGACGGTCTCGAAGGTACCCGGGTCCTATGCCATGGAGCGCTTTGAAGGTGGTAACCAGCACCTTGAATCGCACCCGGAAGACCACTGGGAGCCAGTGCAGCTCACGCAGGAGGGGCGTCACACGGGCACGACTTGCGCCCATAACCACCTGCGCGGCCGCATTCTGGACCAGTTGGAGCCTCCGAGTGCTCTTCAAGGGGAGCCCCATGTAGAGAGCATTACAATAGTCCAGCCGGGAGGTGACAAGGGCATGAGTGACCGTGTGCAAGGCGTCCCGGTCCAGAAAGGGCTGCAACTGGCGGATCAGGCGAACCTGATAAAAGGCCCCCCTGGCCACGACCGTCATATGCTCTTCTAAAGAGAGCCGTGCGTCCAGGAGGACACCCAGATTGTGAGCCCTCTCTGTGGGGGGCAGATTCACCCCCAATAGTCAGCGATGGCACCTGCTGACTATATCGGGACGCCGGCAGCCACAGCCACTCGGTCTTGGGACGGGTTGAGTCTGAGCCTGTTCCTCCCCATCCAGACCCGCACAGCCTCCAGGCAGCGAGACATCACATCAAGGGCATCGTTGGGGTGGTCTGGGGTGGAGATGTACAGCTGAGTATCATCAGCGTACAGATGACACTTCACCCCAAAACCACGGATGATCTCACCCAGCGGCTTCACATAAATGTTGAACAGAAGAGGCGAGAGGACCGACCCTTGTGGCACTCCCCATGCGAGACGCCTCGAGGTCGACCTCTGCCCCCCTGCCAACACGAACTGCGAGCGGTCGGAGAGGAAGGAGGAGAACCACCGCAGAACGGTGCCCCCTATTCCTAACCCTCTCAACCGCTGCAGCATGATACCATGGTCGATGGTATCAAAAGCCGCTGAGAGATCTAATAGGACTAGGACAGAGGAGCAACCCCTGTCCCGAGCCTTCCAGAGATCATCCACCAACGCGACCAATGCTGTTTCTGTGCTGTGCCCCTGCCTGAAGCCCGACTGGTACGGGTCTAGATAGATAGCTTCATCCAGGTGCCTTGGCAGTTGTCGTGCCACCACACTCTCAACAACCTTCGCCACAAAACGAAGGTTGGAGACCGGACGGTAGTTAGCTAATTCAGCCAGGTCCAGGGAAGGCTTCTTGAGGAGGGGCCTCACCACCGCCTCTTTCAAGGCGGCGGGAAAGGCACCCTCACTCAGTGAAGCAGTTTGGGGTTTTAAATTTGTCGGGGCCAAAATTATTTAATTTGATTTTATTCTACTTTTAAATTTTGTATGTATGTGTTTTATTGTTTGGCTGTGCACCGCCCTGAGTTCTTCGGGAGTAGGGCGGTATAGAAATCAAATAAATATAATATAATATAAAAATATTAGTCCCTTTAAAAAAAAATATCGCACAAAACACTATTTTCAAAAATACCTAGTTTTTCTTCTTTGGGGAAACAGTATCGCTAATTGACAGCTCAAATTATTCTATACAATGGCTGCATTTGCAATTCATGCTATGCTAGTTTAGCATAGGGATGCAAATGTTTTTTCCAGGAAGAGAGCCACATTCCCCCCAAAATAGGAAGAAAAATATCAAATTATAACAGAATAACAGAGTTGAAAGAGAGCATGGAGGTCTTCTAATCCAATCCCCTCGAGTAGGAATCACTATACCATTTCAAACCAATGGTTGTCCAGTCTCTTCTTAAAAGCCTCCAATGATTAGTACTCCAGTGAGAGTACCCACAACTTCTGGAGGCAAATTGTTCCACTGATTAACTGTTCTAACTGTCGGGAAATTTCTCATTTCTAGGTTGGATATCTCCTTGATAAGTTTCCACCCATTACTACTACTCCTGCCTTCAGGTGATTTGGAGAATAGGTTGATCCCCTTCTTCTTTGTGGCAGCCCCTTAGATATTGGAAGAATGCTTTCATGTCATCCCTAGTTCTTCTCTCCATTGGATTAGACATATCCAATTCCTGCAACCTTCTTCATGTTTTAGCCCCTTGTCCCATAATCATCTTTGCTGCTCTTCTCTGAATAGTCTCAATATCTTTTTTGTATTATGGCGAGCAAAAGTGAATGCAATATTCCACCTGTGGTTTTACTAAGTCATTATAAAGCAATACTAACACTTCATGTGATCTTGCTTCTATCCCTTTGTTAATGCAGCCAGACTGTTGTTTAGTTTTTTGTTGGCAGCTGTAGCACATTGCTGGTTCATATTTAATCAGTTGTCTACTAAGACTATTTCATTTTGTTCTCAATTCATGAAAAGTTAACATTAATTATATTCACTATTATAAATCATGCATATAATAAGATGGTGGTTTGGTAAGTAATTTTTAGAGGTTTCTAAGGTCTTCATCCAAGATTGAACACATGAAGACCTGGAGTTTCAGTTTATACTTGCTTCAGTAGCATGATAGAACAAATATAGCCTATTGTGTTATTAAACTACTACCTGAAATTAGAACTGGAACCTGAAACTGATAGGAGAGGAACATTAAAACTTTTAGTTATTTATTTATAAAATACTCAATTGTCCAAATTGATTGCCTACATAATTATACATAAGCAATACATATAAATTCAGAATTGTTAGACCAAAGTAACATGGCTAAAAATGGCTTCCTAGCAGGGTGGATAAAAATCAAGATTTTTTTAAAAAAATCAAAAAAATCAAGATTTTTTTTATTTAAATCGGATTTTTTTGATTTTTATCAAATTTATTTTAATAAAAAACTTTTGGAGTAAAAATCTATCGTAAGATAGTTTTCTATTTAAGATACATAAATAATTTAGTTTATTCAGCATGAAATGGAGCTTAGTTATGTAGCACGAGGCTGTATATTCTGCAACACTGGGACTATCGGTGAGTCAACAGTGGGTCAAAGGAGTAGCAGAGATGACAGTTGCTCTTTAAAAATTATGATTTAAATCGAGTTGATTTAAATCAAGTCTTTTTACTAGTGATTTAAATCATGATTTAAATTGTGATTTAAATCAACTCGATTTAAATCAAATCCACCCTGCTTCCTAGTGACTATCCAATCTATCTAATACCTAACTAAGAAGTGTCCAGGGCTTTCTAGAATGTCACAAGTGAAGGGACCAGCCTTACTATTGCTCAGGACAATCTGTAACAATAACTTAAACAAGCCCAATCTTATAGGGCAGACAAATTATTCAGCACAATGGTTTCTAATTTTTAATTTTACCTGGTCTCTACCATATAAGTTCTAAAGGTAATAATCAGCACTTTGAGTCCAGTCATGCAGTCATGACACATGGTAATAAAGGGTATGAGTTACCACAACTAAGACTTCTTTGTACTGTTAAGGCATAAGTGAATATAGAGGCAAAAACTTCCTTAGCCATGGCTTCTATCTGCAAATCTACTAAGACCAGTGAGTCCAGAACAAACCCAATTGACAGCAGGGGCAATATGATTCCCTCTAGAACATAGCTGTTCTTTTAGTTTGCCTGAGCCACACTGAGTGAATAGGAATTATCTTGGCTGTATATGAAATATGTACTATAGCTAATCTATATAAATAATACACTTGCTTTATTTTTTTATCTTATGGGGCTGCTTGTGGCCCATGAGTTGGACATGCCTCATCTAGAACCAACATTGGTACTAAAGTAATACTAATACTTTTAGGAATTCCCAAATATTTTATATCTCCACCTCAGTTTTAGTTCACTAATATCCCATACTAATAACTCAACCCAAACTGATGGATAACCTTTGCCAATTTTGTGTGTGTGTGTGTGCACACACACATATATAATAAAATATCTAAGAATCATAAAAAGACTACTAGTGGCCCGTATATTTAGTATGTATGAATATTAATTCTAAATAAGCCAACTTTAAGGATTTAGTTGGCTTATTTAGAATTAATAAGCCATAATTAAGGATTTAAGCCTGCTTTAAATCACCCTGAAGTAATATTAACAATCACAATTGTGTTGTGCTTTGGAGTGTACAGATAGTCCTCAACTACAACCACAATTTGTTGCCCAAAATTTCTGTTGCTAAATGAGACATTTGTTGAATATTGTCCCATTTCACAACCTTTCTTGCTACAGTTGCTGAGTGAATCACTGTCATTGTTAAATCAGTAACACAATTGTTAAGGGAATCTGAATTCCGCATTGACTTTGCTTGTCCGAAGATTACAAAAGGACATCACCTGACCCTGAGATATTGCAACCATCATTAATATGAATTAGCTGCCAAGTGTCTGAATCTTGATCATGTAACTATGGCAATGCTGCAATAGTCATAGATGTGAAAGTCACACATAAGTCACTTTTTTAGTGCCATTAACTTTGAACGGTCACTAAATGAATTGTCGAGGACTACCTGTAAAATAGCTGCATAATTCTGAAAAAAGGAATAGTTTTATATCTTGTACAACCATTTTATGATAATTTAACTTTAAATTAAATAGAAAATTAAAATAACAGAATAGCCCATGCTGACATCAAGGATTCTTCTTGGGAATAAATATACAAGAGCTGTTTCTCCATATTCTCATAAAATTTTCAACAATGATAAAATAAGATAAAATTCTTAACATTCTTTTAATACCAGCAGTAAGGCAAGTATTTCTTTGATTTAAATTTAGAGGTAGTAATATTGAAGTACCATATAACCAACCTGTGAGGAAACTTCAGAACAAAATCAGTTAATTGCATGCACTTGAAGGGCATAGCCTGCCTTCTGACACCACTGCAAGGGCCATCAACTAGGGCCTGTAAAAACCAAGGGAGAAATGTGTTTTCCAGATTAACATTTAATGCAAAAAAGACTTTCAGTAGCCTACAAAGAAATCCAGATTTATTAAAAGCATAGTTTTTAAGAAGTAAATGAAGTTTTAATGGAAAGTTAAAGGTCATCAGTGGTTTCCCCCCCTATTTTCAGCTCATTTTACACTCACAAGTAACATTATTTATAAGATACCACAGGTTTTAATTTCTATCTCTGGAGATTTTTTAAGGACCACAAGAAAGATTTAAAGGAGCCTCAAGAACATTAGTATGAATATTACTTTACATTAACATAACTATTTCATATCACAAACCAATGCACATTCTTTTTAAAGGTACTTTTATTGAACACAATGAAACTAAATGAAAAGGATGTTATATATTAGCAAATTACAGGAGAATTTCCTTAAGTACTGAGTTTATAAATAAACTTGCCAAAAATAATCATACCTCGGAAAGCAAATTTACATATAAGGTTTATGTGCTTTTATCCATAGTGCAGACAATCACTGTACTTTAAAGAATTCGGGGTAAATCAAGCTGATTACAGAAACTAACTTTAAGGAACTATCTAAGGTTATATCTTTGAAAGTATAATGTACTCAGAAAGCAACCTGTTCAGATACTCATCTAGGAAACTGAAACTCAGCTGTCTCAAGGAAGCCCACAAAATTACAAGCTTGTTGAGAAGTTAAAGGCCTGCAATTTTATGCTAACTATAAACGGAGTGGGGGAAAAAACCCTCAATAACTAGCATGGAATACATACCAATAGCCTCTTGAATGTTTAACATAACCATATTTTCTAACAAACACACCACAGCTATGTAGAAAAAAAAGCTACATTAGTAAGAAAAGCCACAGTATTGTCTTCTATTTATCCATGTGGTACAGCTGTATTATTATTATTATCCTTCTCATCTTTCCCACAACCTTCTCTTATTGTTATTGTTATTATTCTGTTGCTTTATATGTGCACTGAGTTTCTACACTGGAGACAAATTCCAAATGTGTCTAATCACTCTTGGCCAAATAAAATATTGTATACTATTCTATTGGTGGACTAAAGGATGGAATAACCAGACCTAAATGCAATTCTTTATCACTGCTATCTACCATTGATAAATACATAATCTTATTAAATATATAACATACAGCATACCCAGTGAAACTTACCCTGTTTTGGTCGATGATGTCAACCACTGCAACTAGTTTTCCTGCATGTGGTCCAAATGAAATATAAGCAACTCTGCCAATCTCAACATAGCGCTTGAACACCTTAATCAGATAAAGTTTAATTATTCAAATGATTAATTACTAGACAAGTTTATAGAATTATGCAGTTCCAACAGTCCTTCAAAGGAAGCAACTTCTTTACATGCTATACTGAACTTTGAAATAATTGAATAATTGAAATAAACATAATTATAGTACAATATATTCTCAGCCCAAAGCCATTTAGATGTGATGGGAGACACGTCATGAATTTGCAGACACGCGGCCCTACAAGTTTACAGAAATCCAAGGAACTTCTGTTGAAGACTTTCTCATCATGTCCGAGTAGTATTCTATCTTCCCCACCAGAAGAGAATGATTAAAAAAATCCCCGTCCCATCCCCGTCCTTCCTTAACCGCCCGCTACCAACTCTTCCATTTACGCCCAAGGTTCTTAGGCCCTTCTCCCCATGGTTCTTTCCGTCTCCCTCTTTCTCGGCTTAAATCAGCCGAAGGGGAATGAAAGCTATCCCGAAACCCTTCGCAACCACCCTCGACTTCAGTGACTCTTAAGAAAAGCCCCGTGGACAAGGCCTCGGCCATGCGCCCGCGATTACCATGATGGCTGCCACACGAGTCGACTCACAAAAAGAGAAAGAACAGTTTCCGGATGCCTCGAGATACCCCAACTGCGGATGTACATCAGAGGAAGAGGCGGGACTCAGTCGCTCTATTCGCGGCGAACTGCAGGCTGAATAGCAGAGATTGCACAATTGGAGAGAAGGGCTGCGATGACTGACACCAGCAAGTACTATTACGCATGCGCATTACTGACCTTTTTGCTCTCTCTTTTTCCTTCAAGGAATGAATGAAATCAATTGGATAAATTTAAACGATTATTTCTAGCGCATGCGGTGTTCTGTGGCAGAAATCTGCGAAAGTACATCTCCTTGTTCTCCTCCATCTTTTAAACTCTATTCATATGGGTGTATGTATATTGATTGTGGGCCGATAATAAAGTAAAATAAATTCCTGGGCAATCCGTGGCAACCTTAAGTCTTGTGGACTGAGTTCACGGCCCGAATTTGAACTGTATGCTTCTTGTTAATGTACTTTAGGCCTTTGCAAAGTACCCTGAACATAATAATAATGATTAAAACTATTCGAGTTTAGAATATTATTTGTGCAGTCAGAGCTTTTAATTAATGTCGTGTTATATGAATAGAGCCATTGGGTTTGCCGAAAAATGGAGTTTATTACTGGCTTCTTTGGGAGTTACTGTAGGCAATACGAAGGAAAAAAAGAGCCCAAACTGTTGACTTTTAACATAATAGGCTTTTAAAACTTTTAATCTGCTTTTTAAACAGACATTTTTGGACGTCTTTCTTGGTGACAGATTACTTTTTTAACCTGCCCTGATTAGATATGAAGAAAGTTAGCACCCATCCCTCCTAGAAGAATGAAATATTTTGAAAAATATTAAGAAGGCAGATTATTGTATTTCCCTGGATGAGAAAAGGAGAAACAGGTTTTTAAAGACAAAGAGCAGCTCCCTGCCCCCAGCAGATGTTTGGTGCATATTAAGACTGGGCCAGCCTATCTATAAAACAAGACCTCAGCTCTAGGGTGATGGAATTAAGACATGACCCTCCAGGACATAATAGGATTAGCCCTCTACCCATCTAGCAGCAGAGCTCACCACATGGCACCTGGGGATATTACATCATCCAGCACATTTTAACCAGGCTTATCTCAGAAAAACTCCTAGGATTTGCATATGATCCCTACAGCAACCAATAGGATGCATTTCTTGCACAGGAACAGGAAGCTCTAGGGCAGTGATGGCGAACCTTTTAGGGACCAAGTGCCCAAATTGCAATCCAAAACCCACTTATTTATCACAAAGTGCCAACATGGCAATTTAACCTGAATAATGAGGTTTTGTGAGGAATTTCAATCACTCACAACTTGGTTTTCTTTAACAGCACAACTCAGGAATGATGGGAGTGTAGTGTAGTAGCCTCTGGAGGGCCATCACATCCTTGTTCCTTCTTTTCCCTTCCCTCCCTCCTCTGATTTCACATTCTTTCTTTTAATCCTGTATATTATGGTTCGTTATTGTTAGCATTTATTAAAGAATGCTGTGTAGTTTAGAAGCTCTCAGCAAAAATAACAGCAGCTGTTGTTTGTGGCTGAAGCTATCCCGGGCTTTTATTTACACATGCACACACACACAGAGCCCTATTTTTGTTCCACTTTCCCTGGGTTATTGGGAAAGGAATGGCATTTTTTCCCCATCCCCATCTTTAATAAACCCTAGCCCTAACCTTCCTCGCAGCCTTTTAGCTACTATTGTCCCAACTTGCTTCCCCCCTCCCCTTAAAATGAGGCTAGGGAAAAAAGCAGGAGGGGGAAATCTAAGAGGGATGGAAGAAGAGACCCATGCAGATCCCTCTCTGAATAGCCTCCCACTCAGATTTCAACTGATTTCCTCTCTGATCCTCCAACAAACAGATTCCACCCCCCTTTTTGGACTCTGGACCGCTGGGCCTTTATTTTCCCCATTTATTGGGGGAAATTGGATTTTTATTGGGTCTTCCCCCACCCCATGCCAAAAGGAAAGCCAGCTGGGCGTTTCCTCCTAGAAGACCCCCTACCCTTCCCCCTACTCCCTTACCCCTACCCCCCACTCAATCCCACTTTGAGACAAATGAGCATGTGCTGGAAATGCATGTTGGGGCGATGTGAGAGTGTGCCTTCTGACCCTCTGGCGCTCAGCCCGCAACCCTCCGCACTCCTCCAGGCCCGGCTTGCTGAGGAGGGGGGGAGGAACCCTGACGCCTCTACTGCCCCCCATGGCCCCAGCCATCGCTGCCTGGCTTCCTGAAGCCAAGCCAGGTCTCTCCACTGTCCGACTCGCCAATGGGCAAGACACTCCCCATTCCCTGCTAGACTTTTGTGATCAGCGCTTAGCCAGGGGAGGAGAGTGCTTCCCCACACTGCCCCCTTCTTTCTCTTGGTCCCATCATTGAGGGAGGAGGAAGGCCAGGCTTGAGGGATGGCCCCCACCCTGCAAGATCCGCCCCACACTGTTCTTTCCCAGTCCTCTTTGCTGGCGGCAACAGCAAATGTACCACGATGAACACGAAATGCTGTTGTGCAAAGGCAAGTGTAGGGACTCTTCGCTCCCACACTAAGGCTCTGCCCACCGCCACCACCGAGACAGGGCAACAGCTCTTTCATCCTGCTACTGCAACAGGGCCACAGGGAGCCGCAGCAGAGGGGTGAAAGAGCCGCATGAGTCGCATTGTGGCTCTGCGTCATAATGGGCTTCAGGAGGATGGGACCCTGTCTCTCCCATTGTGAAGCGCGCAAATGAGAAAGTTCACTCAATCAATTCCAACTTCGCGAGATCTTTTTCTTTTGTGAGAAGTTGGAATTGATTGAGTGAAACATGATGGAGAAACGCGATTGGAGCTGGGCTGGGGTGACTGAGAGTATAACACTCATTCCCCACTCTCACTCAGCTGCACCAGGACCATGTGCTTAGTGGTTCTGCTCTATTAAACCATCCTTCCAATCAGCCTGCATGTTTTTAGTGTCTTTCTCCCCACTTGGAACTGAACCCACATGGACATTTTTTCCAACATATAAAAGTAAAGGAATCCTTATTCTAATAATTATTATTAGAAGAATTGTTATTATTAGAATTATTATTCTAATAATTGGAACTGCCAGAGACTAGTAAGTAGGACATGTAAACAATTAAAAATGGGGAAAACAGATTGCTTCTAAAACAATGGTTGAAACACAGATATGATCATCAAAAAGGAAGTGTGCCAGTCTGGACAATATGTGCAAATTAAGGAGCCCCATTGATCAAGAGTTCCCATGCTAAGTCTAGGCCCGTGATGGCAAATCTATGACACATGTGCGAGAGGTGGCACGCAACGCCCTCTCTGATGGCATGTGAGCCATCCCCCCAGATCAGCTCCGCCATGCATGTGCGCACGCCTCCTGCTGGCCAGCTGGTCTTTGGGTCTCTGCCACGCATGCAGGGTGGGGCAGAGCATATGTGGGGGGCATGCACGAGGGTGGGGTGTTGTGGGGGGCTCTGTGCATGCATGGGATGGGGGTGCGTGTGGGCACTCACCGATGCGGGGGCAGTGGGTGTGCGGGGGGGCCACATGCACATGCGCGAGGGTGTGTGGGGGAGCTGTACATGCATGCGCAGGGAGGGTCGCATGCACAGGGGCCATAAGCACATTGCATCGCATTGTAGTCCCAACAAATCAGATGTGGGGACAGTAACTTTAAAAATAATGGGGTATATTGAAATCCAAAGCACTGTATATGAGCAACATAGAAAGGTTTGGGAGGATACCTGAGTGTTTCAGACTTGCCATCAAGCTAATGGGTTGGAGACACTGAACATCATATGTCTTGGAGTAGAGAGAATACATGTATTCTGAGTTCATTGACTTCATGCAAACATAATGCATGAATTGCCATATCAATTGGTGGGCAACAATATTTTAGGGACACTACACTCTGTATTATTTTTTAAGTCGTTTCCTAATAGTTAATCTTTCCTGCCCAATAAACCTAAATATGTAGGAATTATTTTTCCAGAAAGGTTGGAAATATTTCCCAATAACTTTGATTCTTGTCACATTCCTTTTGCATATATGAAATTAGGTTTTTGCATTTCATATTACTAATCCTATCACTAATTACTAAAGTAAGTTACCAATTCCCACTTCATGAATGTTTTAAAAGGGTATTTTTCAAATTATTCTTCATCAGAAATACAAACAAAGCTGGCTAATTTACTTCAGGTGATTTTTTGCCTCCCATCAAAGGTTATTTAGTTCTTGAGTAAATCAAGAACTAAACTATCTCCTTCTGATAGTCCTATGCCCCTTGCATATTAGGACTGCTTGATTTTTTATTTTTATATCTGCATATAAACAATTAAATCTTGAACTGCATCAAAGTTCTAGATGAGATCTAAAATAGATTGAGGTATTCATAATGCAATAGTTTCTTATAACTACTGGGGTTCCCCCCCCCCCCGCTTTTTACATAATTAGTGAAAGTTCTGGTCTCTTTTTTGAACTTATTTTATTCTATGGCAAACACATGTTCAACTTGACAAGTGTTCTTTTGCATGCGAGACCGAACATATGAATATACCAGGAAAATAAAACACAGTAATGCCACTGCTGTGAAGAAGAGTAGCAGTCCAGCAAACAAAGAAGGATTTATAGGTAACCAAATCCTATTGCTTTCTGCTGGGATCATATTGGTGAGGCTAAGCATATAGCCTAGTGACCAGGCAATGCTGCTGTTATCAACCTAAAACACAAAAAAAACCCACATTACTGCTGTTAAAATGTAAGACTTTTGTTATTACAAAAAGCAAATGCTTCTATATCAGGCATGTCCAACCCATAGCTAGTAATGTAGGCCCACAAAACTTATAATATTATGTGATTTATATGCATTAACTATATATTTTATATGCAGCCCAATACAATTCCTCTTTATTCAGTATAAATCAGGCAAGCCAAAACTATGCTCTATATCTACATAAAGACACTCCTTCATTGAATTCAACTCTGGTGACTAAATGGACATGTTGTTGTAATTTTTCTTTATAATTTTAAAACAACGCTGAAACGATATACTTATCCTCTTTTTTTTGTTGCTAAAAATAGTAATTTTTTATAATTTCTCATCAAAGTATTAATCAGGCCCCATCCTTAGTTTCCAAGCCCAGATAAGCTGATTATCTGCTGAAGCAGTTGTGGGCCATTAAAATATTTTCACCCATTTGCACAAGTGGTGCCATGACCTATCTTTGCCAACTGGATACACAGATGAGGGAAGTATTTCTGGCAGTAAGATAACTCTCTGCTGGGTTTTTTTTTAAAAAAATAGTACATATATTTGAATATAAAAATTATAAACGCCTTCAGTTCATATATTCTTTTCCCTTTCTGTAGATTAAGGAATTATATCAGAACTCAGAACTGTAGTGTCCTCCACATACAGTAAGTATATTAAACATATTCAGGAAATTATAATCAAAACTAATTTTGGATACTACGGTAGTTTTATCACCTAGAAATAGCAATGAGCAGGGGTAAAAATCTTGCAAATTACACATCCTAATGTTAATGTCCAATTATTTGAGACGATCTTTTTGTTTACAGTCTTATTTTGTGGGATTTTGTTTTATTCTTCCAAAGATTAATTGAAACTTTTGGGTCCAGTTTGTAGGACAACACATGCTTTTTAAAAATAAATAACTCCTACAATACTGACCAGGAACATTTATACAGACAGTTACATGGCAAATATTTAACTTTCCCCAAAGCTAAATCTATGACAAGAAAGGTTCTCGTGTTTTAAATTTTATTAGTTTGGTTCATTTATTATGTTAAATTATTGCTTATTTAACCAGAGTTTATTGAATTATCAAATTTATTGGGTCTACTCAACATACTAAATGAAAGCCAAGCAAATCACAATATAGCTTAGCCCAATGTGTGATTAAATCCTGTATAATGGTTATCATGTTGTAAAAAAGTAAAAGTAAAATCAGAATGATCTTAGAACTGCTGCAAAGAAAAATTAGTGTGGCATTCAATGTATTGCTTTTTCCTTAATGTATTGTCTTTTCCTTCTTCAGAGCTGAAGAAGCTTCTTGGATGAGAAGCAAAACGTCTTCAAATAAAAACAAAGTTCAATTGCCTCTTGAAAAAGCATCTTTGGGACAACCATGACCTGGATAACTGACAATCTCCATAGACATGCATAAAGCAAGATAAAAACATAGAGGACCTAAAGTGAATGCTTCTTTCTATAGTCAGGAACATCTGTCAAATAGTATGAATTAAAAGCCCTCAAATCTACCACTTGGCCATGTTTTATCAGTGGACTATAATAAGCCAATTTCTTTACTGAGGCAGCTTTAAGAACATGTATGGAGAACTGTTATAAAATGGCTCTAACTCAGAATCCCTTCCAGATCTTTTAATTCTTCAAGATGTGTGTTTTTCTCAATTAAATAATCTTAAAAGATAGTTAACTTACTTCTTTTTGAAAATGAATCTGAGGCCAGTTGTCAGCATTGAACTTATACCCATGTACAAGTAAGTGGTAGATATAGTTTGCTGAAAAGCAGTAAGATCTTGCATATGTTTCCTCAAATTTAGAGAGCATAAATGGCAACTGAAAAACAAAACTGACTATTGATAACAAAGTAAGGTTTATTTTTTAAAAAATATAATTCTTACTTTTCTGTTGTGATTATAATGGTTAAAATACTGTACCTAAGAAAATGATTTGCTGAAATCTCATGGAGAGATCTTTGGTGTAATTAATTGCAAACTCAAGTATCTCAAGAAATACGAATAAAATAGGCAAATAATATCATATGTTGGGAAGTAACTGTTTCAGTTTAATTTTCAATATGTATTTTTCCAGAGAAAAGAAAGTCTGATATACAGAGTCATTGATTTACAACCATTCATTTAGTGATCATTTGAAGTTATAACAGCACTTTAAAAAGTGACTTATGACTGTTTTTCACATAGAACTGTTGCAGAATCCCCATTATCATGTGATCAAAATTTGGATACTTGGCAACTAGTTCATATTTATGATGGCTGCAATGTCCCGAGATTATGTGATTACCTTTTGCAACCTTCTGGTAAGCAAAAGTTAATGGGAAAGTCAGATTCACTTTACAACTATGTTACTAACTAAACAACTTCAGTGATTCATTTAACTATGACAAGAAAGTCATAAAATGGGACAATATTCACTTAACAGTTGTCTCACTTAGCAACAGAAATTTGGGGCTCAATTCTGGTTGTAGGTCAAGGACTACCTATACTATCTAACATTTGGTTTTTCAAATTATGTAAATCAAAAGGCACAATCTAAGAACAAGAATCACATGTATGCCTTGTTGATTTTAATGTGAGAATCCTTCTGTCTACTCAGATGAATTTCATTATACTCAATGAGGTTTCTTTTCATACAGTATTCATACAGACTGCACTTAGTATTGCAATCTTAAACATTTGTTCAACTTTGCCTGGATCACTCCCAGCAGTATGACACTTGAGTGGTACGTACTGTCATAGGGCTCTATTATTAATATATTTTCTGGAGTAGCTTTTTCTTTAAGCATTTGGATTAAGGAAGTTGATTCTGCTTAGGAATATGGAATATCTTTTGCTAGTACTTTTTTTCCAAAGCTAGAGATTGATACAGACCTGATTCCAATCCTGTGAGCAGAAAGTCCACATGCTTGAATTGAACTCAGCCAGTGAAAATTGCCCAGTTAAATTCAGAGCATTTACTGTATAGTAAAATCCAGAAAAGGCCTATAAATAAAGTCAGATTAGTGATTGAAAAAACATTTTACTTGAAGATTTATTTTATCAGAGCGAAAAGGTATATTTGGCTTTCTCATCCACTAGCAAATATTAAATATAAAAACTACAATACAATAAAATTAGAAACAGTATCTATAATATTCATGCTCTGCCAAGTAAACAAACAATGCAGTAAGTAGCGAATAATCAAGACTTACCACGAAATTCCCTTTAATTTTTGGCTGGTAGATTCCATTGAATGAGCAGTCTTCTCTATCTTTACAAGATTTGAAATCAAATAACGTTGACACTGCCTCTCTGCAAAAGACTGGATCCCCAGTTCCTGTGACATGTACAGACTGGCTTGGACTGTAGTTCACTGGTTTTAGAAATGCTGTGCAAAGACTTCCATATAAATGTTTCATTGTCAGAATAGTTCTATAATTCTGAGGATAGCATGGATTTTTTATCCCAGATTTATTGTCTGAATCCTAATAGTTTATCAAAACACATATAAAAGACAAAGCCAAGAAGGATTCATTACAAGACATTTATAAACAAAGCATGTGCTGCTGTCTTCAGCTCCATTTTAATTTCTTCAAGAAATTTCTTTCTATTTCTCTGTCTCTGTTTCTCTCTTATGTATTTATTTTTTATTTTCAATAGCCAGAGCATTCCTGGGAATAAGGAAGCCCAGTGGTATCAGAAGTTATACTTGCTAGAACATTGGATAGCATTTTGGGAATCCAGAGCTAATGTCATGCTCAAGCCCAGAGACAACACCGCAAACCCCAATAGAGTCCAATTTTTCTTTCCTTATGCCCAATGAACAAAATCTTGCCAAATTAAAACTATAACCTTCTAAATTACTAAATATATTCTTGAAAGATTTTAAAGTGTGACTACCCTGAACTTTTTCCCCACTCTATCCAGTTCAGAACTGTGCAGTCTCTTAATCCAGTCCACAGAAAAGCCGTATTGTCAAAACTCTCCTTTACTGCTCTTCCAGTACACATTCCATCACATCTAAATCCTAATAAACATAATCCCAGTCATACCTGCAGAATTGAAGCTAGCAGTTTTTTCTCCGCTTCATCTCTCCCATAACATTGGAAGCTGTAGGTATATACACTGTATTGGTAACCAAACAGCTGCACCTGTAGTGTACTATTGAAAGTTTGTATGCTTTCCTCAGGGATGAATGATATCTGAGTGGAAGCCCCACCTAGATCCAGTGCACCTATAGTCTCAACTCCACGGGGCTGGACCCAGGCACTCCAAAGGTTTTTCTAGATATAAAAAGGACCAAGTTGAAATATCATCTGATCTGGGATTCTGCTCCTCTTTTTCTTAACATAGAAGATATTAGAAAACAATGCTCAAATCAAAATGGAAAAATCTCTAATTGTCTGTGGGATTCTTTTAGATAGAACTTACTTTAAAAACTACAATTGAGGAAGCCATTTTTCCTAGTTGCAAAGAAACAAGAAACTATCTAATTAGAGAAAAAATGTTCTAGCCTACTGAGAGATGCCATCAAGAAAGGAATGAGCAGGCTGAGTGAAAAGGCCAAAAGGCTGCCAAAACATCAGAGATATAATTCTTTTGTTGGCCAGAGTATGTATAACCAGCTTCAATGAATGATTTTTCTCAACTCAGATGCCCTTCTGATTTCTCATTACTGAGATTCCTAGAAGCTGAAATTGGATGAAGTCCATACTGGATAAGCTGAAATAAGATAAAATATTTACTCTAAAAGTTTTGTTGATGGTATAGTAATATAAATTCTTTTCACATTCTTTTGCATTTGTAAGGCATTAAATTACACTGCTGGCTTTTGCTCAATTTTTTTTATTTTGTTGCTTTTTTATTATCTTGCATTTTGCTCTTATACATACCATATTAGGTACTTCTTTTAAAAAAGTAAGATCGAAATTAAATAAAAATATAGTAATTATACTTGAAACCCTTATATTGTACTACACTATACTTAGAGTCTTTGAATTATGAACTTCCACAATTTCTTTTACTAATTTATATGATTTATATAGGTGCCCATCTCCCCAAAAGTGATTCTGAGTGGTGTACAACAAAGCTAAAAACAATAAATATGTACAACCATTGTCACTATTAATTACAATAAAAACAACTATAATAAATGAATCAAAAAAGAAATAGCAGGCAAAGTTAATAATAATTAACTAAGTTAAGAATGTTAATAATAATCAAGCCGCCTTAAATTTTTACCTGTCCCCGTAGTTCTAAGGCTTGCTGTCACAACCAGATCTTAAGGGACTTCTAAAAACTCAGTGACAAAGCCACATCACTTCACGGAGATTTCACAATGTGGATGTCACTTTAGAAAAGGTGCACCATGTAGAGGCCTGCCAAATGTAGTTCCCTAGTCAACAGCACACATAACATGTCCTTTTTGCTACATCTGGTGGAATGGGCAGGAGAGGTGGTCCCTCAGTAATAATGGACCTTGATAAATCATAACTAATTTTCAAGGAGTTGTATTCACTTACCCTTGCAAAATTTTAAAAATTCTCTTTATTGGTGTTCGATAGTTCAGCTAGGGATAAGCTTACTTAAATTGGATATATATATAATTAGAAAGACATTTGGATTTCTTAATTTTGATATGAATTATTTTTTTCTATAAAAAACTTCAGTTATAATAACAATAACTAAGTAGTATGCCAGAATTATTCAAATATATTAAACTAACAGTGAAGGTTGAAAGAGTGCTTTTAATATTTTTCTTACTCATTTAAAGAGCTGATCTGACAAATATACTAACAACATCCTTGATAATTTCATATCTTTCTACAAGCCTTGAATTTTTTGTACATTGATATTACTAGTAAGAAGGTGGAATTTATTTATTTTTATTTATAAATTTATTTGAATCATTGTGTTATTATTTACAGCATGAATAAAAATGTAGCTCTGAGTATATATAACTTTACATGGAATTTTGAAATAAAGCTGAAACACTAATACTTTAAAAAAAATAAATATACCCAATGGAGGGAGAGAGATGAATACTGTATAATATAATACTGTAATAGCTGCACTCAGCTTATGCAACTAAACAAAGTATACAATTCATTGTAAAATTTATAAATATTATTATCCTCAGTATAAAGAAAAAATCCACTGTAAAAATGTCAGTTAAGCAGATAATAAAAGGGAAAAAACAGCTAACCACAAAAATAGTATCTGCTTTACTATTTCATTTTATCTTCTCTTCCCAATTTGATCTTTTAGTATTAAACAGTGACTATGAATACTGATTGCATACTATATCAATCAACTCTGCACAGTATATTCATGATTTCTCCTTGCCTTTAGAGTAGATAAACATGGGACAATAGGGAGACCACAGACTGAGGAGCAGGTTCTGCAAATGTGATCAAAACGTGCAAAAAAATTTTTATTGGTTTCTTCTTGAATTTCTTTATAGATTAAATGATCTATGATATTTTCAAAAGGGGTTTCGTTTCTTATTACTTGGCCAGAATTTTTATGAATATGTATTTGTAAACAATAACAAATACTTTAAATGCACAAGGTGTTTATATTTGACATACAGAAAATCAATACTAAACAAAACAAGATTAAAAATTGAAACTTTGGCTGGCATGCTTTTCCTAACATTACTGCCAAATTTAAATTTACAGTAGTTTGTTTGGTGACTATTGAAAGTTACAATGGCATTGCAAAGAAGTAACTTATGACAGTTTTTCATAAATACAACCGTTGCAGCATCTCCATGGTCATGTGATCAGAATTCAGATGCTTGGCAACTGGTTCCTATTTATGACAGTTGCATTGTCCCAGGGTCGTGTGATCACCTTTTGCAACTTCTGACAAGAAAAATTAATGAGGAAGCCAGGTTCAATTAATAACTGTGTTACTAACTTAAAAACTTCAGTGATTCACTTAACTATTGTGGCAAGAAAGGTTGTAAAATTGGGCAAAACTCACTTAACAACTGTCTTGCTTAACAACAGAAATTTTGGGCTCAATTGTGGTTGTAAG